AAACCAGCTTACACGTCACATCACTTTACCTTAACATCGCCACATTTCCTCTCCCGGCCACATTCCGCCCAACAACGTGCGTCTCCTCCCAGACATCCTGCAGGTGCTTAAAAACTTCCTTCGCAGCTAATACACACAAATTACCTGGTTTGATGCGTACCTGAGAGTCGAGAGAGTGTCAACGTGTTCCCCCGAGCAGCCTCTGTCAGGCTTTCAAAGGCATATTGAAGCGTCCTAAATTTAATGCAGCGGGGGGCAAAATTTCCCAAAGACTGCAAAATGCTCTTAAATTTTCGTCCCCTCAACAAAACTTTTGCTTTTACAAAATTTAATTTGAAAATTTTACTTGCTATATTTTTCTCTTGAAACCAGTAAGATGATGCATAATCACTAAGTATTTGAATGGAAAATTTATAAAGAAATGAATATATAAAATAATTGCTAAATTACACTTCTCGTATGAATTTTAAGATTAATCGCCATAAAAAAAATTATTAAGTTTTCCTTCAATTATAAAAACCAACATTTATTTTTGAATTATACATATCATAAAATAAAAAGTAATCTTGAACTTGCAAAAATTTATTTTACAAAAATTATGTTATGTGTTAATTTAGTGAATTTAATACAATATTTATAACAATATTTGTATAATTCAAATATTATAGTTTCAAATAAAAAATATTATTGTTGAATTTTATAATATATAATTGTGTATTTGACCAATAGATTGCAAATTCCATGTTGATAATATTATTTAAAGCTCCTAAAAACAAAACAATGCAACCTGCTTCACATATGTGAGAAGCAGGCTGCATAAGCATGAATGGAAGAGTGGCGGCTGATGCGTTGTGACGGCGGAGCGGTACGCAATGCGGCTCATTACATTCGCGTAGAATGCCCTTTACAGCACTATTCGCCTTTTTTTGCGTTGGCAAAATTGCAATTGCAATGACGAGAGTTTTAACTACACTGGAGATTCCGCTGGCTCAACCACCAACGCTTTGGTTATAAAGGCTCATTTTTTTTCAGATTGTATAAAATGTAGAAAATTTAATCACGACGGCCGGTGTTAAATATTCCAGGGCGACTCACAGCTCGGTGCATTTTCAAAGAGGTGGCCAAGGCAAATAATTAAGCATCTGCAAACAGTGAACGTAATAAGGGCCTTTGAGCTGAAGTGGGGCTTGGTTGAAAAACCGCAGCCGCCAGCCCTTCTTATATTGGGACCCAACAAGCCTGTGAGGGGCATGAAACGTGCGCGGGTTTGTGTCAATATTTAGCATGCAGGAACGCTGCCGGACACTCGTACGGAATGCAGACCCCAAAAACTATTTGCAACTCAAATAACTAGCCGTCGTCGGTCAAACAACAAGAGCAGCAACGCCGCTAGGAATGACGCTAATAAGAGCAAATGCTGACCAACTAGTTCTATTATTAACTGTCACCACCCCTTTCCTTGCCTCCCAGCCATGGACCGAGAGCTCGTCTATCGAATATTCATGAGCTTGTCCATAGAGCTGGGTGAAGTCTGGAAAACGCGCTAAAATTGAACCTTTTTTATCTTTTCGTGCGACTCGCGTCAAAGGAAAATTACATTTTCAATTACTTTCCGTAAATAAATATCAAACGTGGCAGTTTCGATTTTTCTAAATAACATCACATGTCACTGATGAAGTTTGTTTACTTGTTTGTTAATTAAATTGAAAGCAAGATAAATTGTGGAAACGAAGTTCAACATAAATTGAAACTCTGCGGTGCGATCCGCGAGTCGAAATCAAAGTGACTTGATTTATAGCAGCACTGAAATGAGAGTTGATTACTCGCAGCGCTAGCTGCTGGATAATGTTTTTTGTGAAGTCGTGCTTCCGAAAGGGATGTTTATTTCACCAGAGCTAGCCAACTTTCTCCGACAAAAAGCTTTTTTTCAAAAAAATATGGGTACGGAATGGAACAAACATTTGCAGAAACTAATTTTGACTGCGAGTTCATCACTCCAGAGGAATGCTCTTGGGGGCAATTAATGATTGCCCAAGACTTTTGAACTGGGGTCTGCAAATGATCTGAGGCGAGACTGGTCTGAAATTAATTGGTATTCGAATAACTCAATGGTGGAGAGAGCAGAAGAGGTAATAAATTATAAAACTTCGAGCGATGCTGCATTAATAATTTCAATTTTTTTTTCCTTCCTTTGATGAAACTGTAAATTAAATTTGTGTTTCTGACACGCGATGATTAATTTTGTCAGATTCAATAGTGCGGAACGAAATTCAGAATTTTAGTTTAAAAAGGTATTGTGTTTATTTTCAGTTGAAAACGAAGGGAATTGCGAATTAAATGCTGCAGACTGGCGCCATTCAAAAGTTGAAAGTTCACGCAACTGACTCTTTGCCCTACGAGCGGCAGACTGAATCTGCGTTGGCGCAGAATTGGAATCAAAAGAGCGTGCCGTCGCTTTCAATCGCCGCTAAAAGAGTGCCTTTGTAGAACAAAGAGTTTGAATTTCCCTGTGGTCCTTGTTAATGATTGGAATCAAGGAAACGCCCCCATTCAAAGAACACACTAACGCGCGGTCTGTCGTTCCGAACAAGAGTGGAAAGGTTAATACGCGTTTAGTTCGAATGCACTTACGAACTTGTTGGTAATGATTTTAAATATTCATGCCGGAGTTTGCCGAGAGGACACATCCTCGAGAGTTCGCTTCCTCTCGTCAGCCATTCTATTTGCGCCCTCGCATGAATCCACGTACGTGATTGTGAAGAAGCTCCTTCGCGACGCCAATATAAAGTAATGATTCTTCCGCCCTCCAACACATCCCCCGTCAAGGAGATTAAAACCCAAACTTGTGCCTCCCGCGCCAAGTCTGAAAGACGTTACAAAGGATTTTTGCCCAACAAATGAGTTTGTAATCTAATTTCAAACAATTAATGAGCAGCCTTGCTAGATAATTTAAGCCGCCACCGCCTAATTATCATCAAAGCTAAAATTAGCAAGATGCGCCGCACCGAGATTGGCCTTTATTTGCCCAAGCGGCTCTGTCTGGCTGGAAGTAATGGATGTAAATATGGTGCGCCGAGCTCGTTACCCTGCAAAATTTACCTGCCGCGAGGCAAACATTTGATAGTTTTGAGAATCCTGCAATTATTTACTTAAGTGTATTCCATCGCTGTGCTTTGTCAGATTTTCCCGGAAACTGTAATTAAAAAAGATGTCAAAACCCAAAAATATTTACTTTATATTTTGTTTGTTTAACGGTCAGGGACAATTTAAAATTATGTCAATTTGATCAGAAAAACAATATTACAGTTGCTCTTTTGGAAACTTTAATCAATTTTGCACGCCGATATCACGGGAAGTTGTTTTTGCACAGTAAATTATAAGTAAACACGGCCGCAGGTCTTGGCAACAGTTTTGTTTTCAAATCGAGCAGTAGAACAAAAATATTATTTCCGAAGCTCCGGCACTTCACATTTCGCTTGGCCCGACAATGAGGGTCGTCGTCGCGATTGGTTTATCAGCAATGCAAATAGCGTGCGCCTCGCGGTGGTAAGAAATCAATGAATGCTCTTGACGTCTTCATTGGAAACGCCGGTTCTCGCATTTGAATGAGGCGCTTGAAATTTTGGAATAATAAAATGCAACTTGATCATTGAGTGGAAAAGTACAAAAGGGACGTGCAAAGACTAAGGATTTGTGAATTCTTTGATCGTTCCCGTCAGGGTTCCTCGGATGCAAGAATCCACCGAGTCAATTTTCCGCTGGCTTATTTAATATTTGAACCCCGCCAGCCGAAAAGCCATCGTTTGAGGACCCCCCGAACCGAGGATGGGAACAAAGGACGTGGAATAACTGATGAGAGCATGGTGCACTTTTTTAAAAAGCGGTTAGATCTTGACGCATGGTGGCTTCTCATTTTTATTCCGGCGCGTATCAAACGGATGTGTGTGTTTTTGCAATGATAAAACCACTTTTTGTCAGATACATTTTCGCCCGCATAACTGCACACGGCACACATATACGAGTTCGCTTCCTGGAAAAAAGCCACGCGTCTCTCTTCCATTAGATGGAACGACGTTTGTGACGCTCGGTAAAAACTCAACTTTGCTCGCTCTTATCAATAGTAAAATTTTACAGCCAAAACTTCGCGAATCGAACCACCCCATAAACAAGCGTACGGTTCTCCCTCTTTGCGCACTCGCTCATATTTTATTCAATAAAGGTAACAGGATTTTACGAGGCGCGCCGACCGATCTTCGAAAACAGTTTTTACTTCACAGAGAACGAGTAATGTATAGAAAAAATGTATATAAATATGTATTTCGCAAGGCAGCAAATCTCCCTCTCCTCTTTTTCCTGCGAAATATGAAAGATGAAAGAGCAACGCAGCGCTTCGCCAAGCTGGGCTTGTGACTTAATCAAACGTACTTTTGTCTACCTGCTGCCGGGCAAGTACATACAGAGAGAGATAAAAAGAGGCCGACCCTTTTTATGCATTTAAATTGACTTATAAATGCCGCAAGCCTTGCTGTTTCGCCTCGGAACGTGATTTTAATTCTAAACATTCGCCAATCCATCAAGCCGACTGGAGCAAAGAAGCCTCCTTTTTGCATCCGAAATCGTGATTCCCCTTTTAAGCAGCAGTGTTGCCATAAAAATCTATAAAGCAAAGTTCTTTTCCTGCACCCCAAACATTTTAGAGAAGGAGGAATTTGTTCTCTGTGGAAACTTTTCCGAAAGTATTGTAATTAATATTAATCGAATTCCGTCGCGAGTTTCCAAAAGTTTTCATCTCCGCGTCCAAAACGACTTGGATGCCTGCGAGCGAATTTCAAATTGCGGTCACCGAACGCGCGTCGTTCCTCTCACGCAATTTAACAAGTTGGATGTCCTCCGCGACGAGAGATTCGACCAATGTATAACGCGGAAGTTTGTTTTACCACAAAAGCTGGGGACATCTGCTGCTGTATAAATAAACTCGGGCTGCACATAAATTTACTTACTTTTGCAATGTGGTCCAAGAATTCGGCTCAGCTAGTTCATTCCCCTGCGCGCAGCTGACACACAGCCTCTTCTGCAACATTAGACGGGAAAAAGTGAGCGTTCGTTAGGCATCATTACGCTGAAGGAATACGGCAAATCCGCCCAGCTAATTCTGTGTAGAGAGTTATTTTTATGGCCCCGCCTCTCAGTTTATTGCAAACTTGGTTGGATTAAGTAGGTAATAGCCCTGCAAAGCTCGACTCGGCGGCACGAATGCAATGTTTGATTAAGCGTAAGACTGCTGAGCTTGTTGTAGACATGGTTCAATATGTAAACCTTGAAATATCTAAAAACGCTTTTATTATTTATTACCAATCAATCACGAAACCTAAAAAAGTTGTAATACAAAGTCTTTTATGACACCAACTTCATTTATATAAAAATAAGCTAACAAAAATAATTTGATTTTAGGGGAATGGTAAAGAGCTTCAAACCAAATTTTTTTTATTTATACAAGACTGGTAAAAATAGTAAAAAAAAAACTTTATTGATATGTGAATACTGGTTTAAATTTTCAATGACTTTAATTTAAAAATCAAACCGAAAATTTAATTAATCACAGTTATAAAAATTGAAATGTTCATTATTTAATTGATTTTATTTTCTTGAAGTTCTTGCGAAGTGTTCTATTTAAAACTATTTGCTAAGTTACATAATTATGCTAGTTACATAATAAATTTATGTTTGTTAAGTATTTTTATTGTTTTTGAGTTTAGGATGATGATGAATTTTTTACAATTACAATAATTTTAAAAAAATGGTGTTAGCATAATATAATTTTTTTTTTTTTAAATACAAATTACCTAATCTCCATCTAGTTTATGTATTGTGTATTTTCTTTTAATTATCACTTTATCCGTTAAAATTAAGAGTTATTAATATATTTAAATTAAACAATTATAATTAAATTTCAGACAATTCTTTCAATTTTGAAAATCAAGATGCCCAAAAGTAAGCTCTCACTTCAATGTTGTAGATTGTTCTACCATAATTATATAACAATTTAAAATAAACAAGTTAAGTATGACATGATAAATTCCGTTAAGATTCATTTAAATTTCAGGATATTATATATGTTCATGAAATAATTATTCTTCCAAATGGACCAGGGTAATTATTTTCAGTCGGGCACACTAATTGTATGACAGCTTTGAGCTAGCAATTAAAATAAGCACATTTTCAGTGCGGCTTGCAAAATGACGAGCGTCCTGATAATTTGAATGGCAGACGCTGCTCGCTTTTAATTTAATCACCCCGCAATTTCAATAATTAAGCCAGGCGGCTCGGCGTGGAACTTGAATAATTGCGCTCGCACGTCTACCATGGATGAAAGAAGTTTTGACGACGTCATCTTTTCAGTTTTCCTGAGCTGCTGCTCTCACACTCGCTCGCGACTAGTGTAATTACGCGAGTTTCCCTTTTCTTGGGCGTGCGAGGAAAGCAGCTCTCTGCAGCTTTCGCGCGCCGACTCTCTAAGACGGCTAAGCAGCATCAATTTGGCATGAATGAATCCTATTATGCCCATCCTGCATTATGTTGCTCGTTTGAAAGACACGCGTTCTTCACTCAAACGCGAAGACGACTGCTACCCTTCTTTTGTGCAAAAGCAAGTAATTAAACCAAGCCGACACGCAAACACTTTAATGGAAAAGAGATTTGAACAAATGGCAAGGATTCACCAAAAAAGAGAGGAAGCATGAGAAATTTGCATGCTTCTATATCAAATTAATTGAAAATCGTCTGCTTTTAAATAATTTACTTTTGTTCCTGCAAAATAATTATCTAAAAAAATTGCACTGTGAAATTTAAAAAATTTCTGTAAGACCTTTTTCAATCAGCAAGTAAATAAAATATAAATCGAACTTGCATGGCCTCATATCAAAACATTTCCATTTGTTTTCAGTTTTATTTTTAGATGTGCATCAATGTACTACAAGCTTTTTGTGCGAGATTTTAAAAATATTTCGAGAATTAAGTAGGATCTTATTGCTGTGCAACAACAAAAAATATCATTTTCAATGACTTGCAATTATATTTGATGCGAAATGTTGAGTAGAATCAAGTAATTTTTTATTTGGCTTTTACCATGTTTTTAATTATCCAGCGTGTTTTTTTCCCAGCTGCAGTGATTAATAAAATGTAATTTGTGCTAATTTTTTCTGTAGGCATTAAAAAAAAATGGGATATTTTCACTTTTTAATTAATTCTAATTGAACCGAGCTTAAAGGAATAAAAAATAAAGTAGAGAATAAATACAAATATCTTGGGAATCGGAAATATTTGATCAATCAGACACATCTATTAGATTTATAAATTGCTAGTTTGATATGTAGATGGTTTTCACTATCAAAACTAGTCAATATATTTTTTCGGAATTTAACAAAATAAAATTTGGTGAGTAGAAGGAGAAAATAAAAAATTAACATTCTAATCACTTTATAGCTTGAAAAAAGAATATAATATTAAATATTAACACTAAAAACAACAAATTTTGTTGTTTTAGAGTTATTATTTTTTATTCTTTTTGGTAGAACTATTTTTATTACAAAAAGTTCTGAATTGCACGGGAATCTATTGCGTTTAAATTTTATGATTGTAAATTTTTTTTTAATCATGTAGTACGAAACACTGAGTGTTGAAGTTGGGTTAATAAAAAGTCCACTTCGCATAACCCCCCTTACTTATGCTTGTGTGAGCAAGGATGCCACTATCTGCTCTTTCTCTGTGTGTTGGAAAATATTTTTCAATGTACTGCAAATGAAGGGCCGCGCGTTGCTCGTTTCGTTCTACTGTGTGCCACAGTAATAAATAACGGAGTTGGGATTTGGAGGCAGCCAAGTACCACACTGCGCGCGTTCAAGAGTGTCAACTTGGCATCCACAGTTGTTGGCTTATTCTTCCTCTTTGCGCTAATTATGCAGCGAATTTCATTTCTGGCTCCGCGCGTATATTATGACACGCGGCATTTGCATAAAACAGCGTGGCAAGTTTTGGGTGTTGCGAGAACCCCTTCATCTCCACAGAGGAAGAGAGAGGAAGGAAGGTGCGAAGCAATTTCTTACCAACTTGCTGATGCTGCGTCGCAGAGCAGAGTGAGAGACACATTTCTCGAAAATGAATACAAACATTTCACGGCTCGGATTCACCAGCCGGCTTTTAACATCTCGTCTTGGTGAAAAAAAATTGTCGGCACGTCTCGTCATTGCGAAATAACGGTGCTCGCGCTATTTTTGTTTCCGTGTTTTGCTTTCAGCAGATTAAAAACAAGACATCTCGCGCACTGATGTGCTTTTAATTTTTCGCTGGCGTCGCATTGCACGTCGCCTTAATTTGACTTCTCGTACTCCTTGGAGCGCATTAAAAAGTTCGCCACTGGGAATGAGATGATTTTAATCGGCACCAGACGCTGCTGGGAATTAGAATGGCTGAAATTAATGAGAGCTAGATTGTTCTCTAGTTCTCTATTCCTCTTGTATACTATTTTTTTAAAGTTTGTTATCCCTAACTTTATATGTTGTCGTCATAAGCAATTTAAACATTTTCTGTAAAATATTAAAATAAATATCAGGAAAGGAAAAGGGTAAAAATTTCATCACATTGCCTTTTTTCCAATTTAAAATGTAATCCTTGCAATCAATTTGGCCTTTCCAAATTAAAATTTTAATAATTCATTATTTTGAAATTTCTGTTTGATATGCCTCGATTATAATTATAAAGAATTCCCACGTTGAATTCACTAATTGTAAGTTGCTGCAGTTGTAAATAATCTTTTTAGTAAAGTAGTTATGATGGCCTACTAATTTAGAGATACAAATTAATATTAAAAAAATAAAAGATTTATTAAATCCCGGATTGAAAAATCCAGGAGCAAATTACTATTACCTAAAAAATTTATTATTATTAGTCTTTTTTTTACTTTTTGTTCAGCTGAAGTTTTAATTTATTGCAATTGTTTGCTCTGAAAATGATTAATGAAAAGTAGAGTAATATCAATTTAGCAGGTATCAACCTGTCCCTTGCTTTATGACCAGATGTGAGATTGCATTTCATGGCATTATTATTATTCGGCACGTCGAATGCAAAAATCAAGCAACGCAAATTATACCAGAACAGTTGTTATTGCACAATAATCAGAGTCACAGCAAACCTTAATCAGCTTTGAAATTTATTATACCACGATTGTGAGTCACCATAAATAAGTAGTATACTGCGATGATGCATTGCACTGTGGTGGCCGCGGGTATGTGTAATTTTATTATTATTGCTGGTACACGCGGTGCATGCTTGATCCGGCGCCATTGCATAGAGGAGCACTATGTCTGTATGTATAAGTAAAAAGTGCCCATTGCAATGAGGCGCGGAGGTCACTATCTGCATCATGGAGCGGCAAATTATTCTCCCGGGGGTCAGTTTGCGTTGGAACAACCGCGTTGTTTTTATCGTCTATGGCGTTTGCTGCGAAACGCTCTCCACGGCGGCAGTCGGCAAAATTTATCGCCACTCCCTGAACTCGCATAGTACCAGCATTAAGGGTTTTAGAGTTTAATTTCAACTGCATCCTTTTTTACTTGGCTTTAAGGGAAAAATACTTATGTTTAGTAGAAATGGATGAAAGGGTGAGGAATATACAAACATTAGGGTCTTACTTGAAACAAAAATCGGATAAAATTTCCAGCGTATTTTTATTTAGTCTGTTAAAATTTTAATCTTACAAAGAAAACTAATTAATGTGACGAGAGAGAAAAGAAGAAAAATTGAATTCCTTTGATGAAGTTATACGAATTAATTGCATGAATTTAAAAAATAATATTCTTACTTGTACAATATAAATTTTCCTATTGAAATAACAAATTAAATAGACTTTAAGTGTAGTATTATGTACCAACTAAATAATTTGATTCTCTTGTGTTTGTCTGTTCAGAGAATTTCATTCCTATATTTTTTTTTTGCTTTTTTTACTATTTTAAGCAACATGAATTAAAAATACCAAAATAATTATTTTTTTGTACAATATTTGATTTAATGAAAGAT